TCTGATTGGTGCATTTAGGAACACAATAGTTGCTATAAACATTTGAACCTAGCTCTCTCCCCCCTCTCTCTCTCTCTCTCTCTCTCTCTCTATATATATATATATATATATATATATATATATATATATTATATATATATATATATTATATATATATATATTATATATATATATATATATATAAATTTTTATTAACTACAAAAGACTAGAGATGTGAATTGCATATGGCATGTCCATTAAAATTTTCAAATTTTATACGAAGAGAATACATTTTGTTGCATACATTGTTACATTTTGTTATCATTTGAAGTATTTTGCTACCGTTCATATTTTTTAAATTATTTGGCATACCTTTAAACAAAATCTTGTCTCAGCCACTGGTGAAGCTAGCAACCAAATTGGCGAGACAATTGTACCTCCTACTGGTGGCTTTGTTCCTTCTTCCTCAAGTGTCTCTTAGGAAAGTAGTCAGTTGCATACTGATCCTTCAATTGATCAGTCTATTGGTTCCTCTAGGTCTAGACATGAATCACATATGTCTGTCAAGTTTGCTGACTATGTAGTAGATGGTAAATATAAGTATGGTATAGAAAGAATTGTTAACTATTCATGTCTTAATATTGAAACTAGATGTTTTGTGTCTAATCTTAATAAGACTGTTGAACCTAAATATTATAATGATGCTTCGCCTGATCCTGATTAAATCAAGGAGATGAATGAAGAGATGGAAGCTCTTCATCGAAATCACACTTGGGATATAACAAGTTTACCTAAGAATAGAAAACCCATTAGATGCAAATGGGTTTACAAGATTAAGTATAAGTCAAATGGGGAAGTAGAACGGTATAAAGCACATTTAGTTGCTAAAGGGTATAATCAGAGGGAATGTATCGATTTTGAAGAAACCTTTTCTCCGATAGCAAAAATTGTTACTGTTCGTATTGTTATTTCTTTGTTTGTTCATAATTCATGGTATTTATATCAATTGGACATAAATAATTCATTTCTTTATGGAGGCCTATCTAAAGATGTATATATGACTCTTCCACCTGGGTATTATACCGATAATGACTCTAGGGTTTGTAAACTTGTTAAATCTTTGTATGGCTTAAAACAAGCTCTTAGGAAGTGGAATGAAAAATTATGTGCTTCTTTGTTCATGTTTGGTTTTCAACAAAGTGTTAGTGCTTACTCTTTGTTTATTAGAAAATTTGAAGATTCTATTACTATTTTATTGGTATATGTACATGATATAATATTAATTGGATGTCATGAGAATGAGTTACAAAAGGTTAAAGATTTTATGAAAACTCAATTTTTGATAAAAGATCTCGGTATTCTTAAATATTTTTTGGAAATTGAGGTTGTTAATTTTGGTAATGGCTTGTATTTAAATCAGAGGAAATATTGTCTTAAGCTTCTTCATGGGTATGGTATGCTAGGGTGCAAACTTGTTGCCACACCTTTAGAAACCAATCTAGTTGTTAATTATGGTGATTTTGTTAAAAATGATGAATTGTTGGCAAATAAAACTGAATTTCAAAAACTTATTGGAAAGTATATCTCACCATTACTAGACCCAATATTTCTTATGTTGTTCAGGTTCTTAGTCAATATATGCACAAACCTAGAAAGTCACATTTGAAAATTGCTTTCAGACTGTTAAGATATTTGAAAAAGCAGTCCATGAAAAGGGGTTGCTTTGTGATGGATTTGAGTTAAAAGGTTTTGTAGATGCAGATTGGGCTAAGTGTCTATCCACAAGGTCTGTAATTGGTTATATGATTTTCCTTAATAATTCATTGGTTTCATGGAAGAATAAGAAACAGTTTACTGTTTCTAGGTCTTCTACTAAACCGGAGTATAGAGCCCTTGGTTCTGTTACTTGTGAAATAATTTGGATTTTGAAAATTTTGTTAGAATTGGGTATAAAAGATCTTACTCATGTATCTGTTTTTTGTGACAATGATTCAACAATTAAATTGGCTCTTAATCCGATTTTTCATGAACATACTAAGCATTTTGAAATAGATCTTCACTTTGTTAGAGAAAAAATATCTAATGGTGTGTTGAAAATGGTTAAGATTAGTTCTTCTTATCAAAATGTTGACATTCTTACTAAGTCTTTAAGTTTTAAGCAACATGATTTTTTGTCGAATAAAATGGGGCTTATTGATGTTTTTAAAAAGGAAAAATAAATATTCCGATTGAGGGGAGATGTTGAAAATACTAAGTGTTTTTAATATTCGATCTCATATTTATTAATTATTGAGTTTGGATGTTTTGTGTCAATATTACAATTTCTTGTTTCTCTCATTAATGAAATAAATTTGTTAAAGGGGGTTATTTCTGGTATTTTGGGCATGTTGTGGGTTGTGGCTCATTTCTTTCAAACTACAGGTGTGACACGCGGATCTGATTCATGGATAATATCCAAGACTCGGTTCATATCCATGACCCGGGGTATATATTGGTGAGAAGTGAAGGGTTTCGTCATATTCAGTTCTTTTTTTGCTCCCAATACTCAGAGCTCTCATTCTCGTTCTCACCTGCTTTAGTTAGGGTTTCACAGTTGCAATATTCTGTGTGATTGATCATCCTTTTGCTCTTGATCATTGCAGTGTAGGTTGAGTGTTTCATTCTGAGAGTAGATTAGGGTTTTGTAGTGAGGTTTGATTTGTAAGTAACTTGAAAATCTTTTGTTTCTTAATCCTCAAATGATATAAGAAACGTTGATGTTGGGAAATTTTGGTTTATCGTTTTTTAACACGTATATTGAAAAAAGTGTTTTAAAAAAAATCAATAACAATGTAATTATGAATATATTTCAAGATATAAGATATTGTAAGGTACAATCATAATAACTTTATTAAGTATAACTAATGAAGTTATGTTTAAATATTTGAAGGCATGCAAACTGACCCGTCACCATTATTATTTTTTACCTTTTCATCTTCTTCGGTTTCATTTACATAAGAACTCATGTGGTTTTCGGTTCTACATTTGACACTAAAAGTACAAGCCCACACCCTTTAGCCTAAGGGCGTGTTTGGCAAAAGTAGTTGTTAGCTGGAAGCAGGTAGCGGTTAGCTGGTAGCGGGTAGCTGGTAGCGTGTAGCGGATAGGTGGTAGCGGGAAGCTGTAGCTTTTATTTGTTATATGAGTGTTTGGTAAAAGTAGCTGGTAGCTTTTGAAATATATAAAATTACATAAAAGGACAATTGATTAAAAATAAATCAATATATAAATATATTTTTAAGGGTAATTATGGAAATTGATTTCAAAAGCTCAGTAGCGTTTTGTTAAACGCTACATGAAGTAGCTTTTAGATTTGGAGCGTTTTGTTTAAACTAAAAGTTAAACGCTCGTACTGCCAAACGAAGTTTTTTGTTTAAACTATAGCGTTTTGTCAAAAGGTAAAAGCTAGAAGCTCCCAAACGCTTCCAAAAGCTCCGTGCGAAACACGCCCTAAAAGTATTTTTATGTCTTCAGCTTCGCAGCAAACCTTTCGGCCTCTCTTATATCATATCATCGATCTCCTTGAGGCAATTTATAATGTTTATTAACCTAAAACACCATAAATATTTTCTTCATATAAATAGCCCAATAAGAAACACATTATGAGTTCTAGGTTAACAAATACTAAACCCCCAAACCGCTAATAGCTCTCTCATCATTGCATAAAACTAACTCTTAAAAAATAAATACTAATATTCAATGCTCAATAATTGGCTCATAAGTCATAAATACTCTCTGAAAGTTAAATACAAAACAATAAATGCTCATAAAAATAGATGAAACCCCACATATCTTGAATGTCGTAACCTTTCCATGGCCAAATGGAAAGTGTCTTCATAAAACTTCATTTTTTACGAGTTTTACAACTTTGATTTTTTTGACTTTGGTACAAATCAACCCATAATTGCATATACTTAATAATTTCACCAAAATGGGCCAACACTCACAACGCACTTTTCATCATTTTGCTATTTCGCTCACACTTTTATCCTTGAAATCTTGAAAGTTTGTGACACCTACATAATCACAAACTAACTTTTTATTTCAATATTCACTTATTAAAATTTTATGTAAATTGGGTAAGGGTATTGTATTGTCAAGCATTTTCGTGGTTGTAGGTTGGAAAATAATGTAGAGAGTTGTTTTGGCATAACGCTAAGTTGAAAACTTGATATAGAGGGACCTCTTTTTTATGTTTACAGTTGAAATTTCAATTACAATTAATCAAACTATGTTATCAAGTTACGTACTAGGGGTATCAAAACCCTATAAAAATTAAGAAGTAAGTTGAAATCCAATCGCATCTCAAACCACTCACCATCCATGTAGATCAGGGCCACATGCTATATTACATTGACCGAGTCAAGATCTCATCCTTTTTGTAATTTCTATCCAAGTCACACAAAGGATTTCATTTAGTCAAAGCTATTAAATAAAACTATTAAGTTGATTTTTTATTTGAAACCCCATATTAACTTTAACCAATAAAATAACTTCTTGCTAGTTGCTCCTTGTCCAACTCCCATACAACTCAAGTAGAAAAGTTATCCATGTATCATGAGCATGTAAAATGCAAAATATGGGCTCATTTTGTTATAGGACTCAAATTTATACATGATTTTACTAAATATCTTTATTCAAACCCATTTGTTACGTTTCTTAAAAAAACCCATTTGTTACATGTTTAGTCGCGTCATTTTTTACCAACATGTATTTTATCCAAGTCAAATTCTAACATCATGGTTACCAAAAATAGAAAATAATTTGTAATCAATATTTGGTAAGAAAATCATTGATAAAAAAAAAATGTTGCACATTTAAAATGGAAAAATAACAAACAAACAATCCACTTATAGTTTTGTACCAAAGCATGGTGCTTTTAAAAAAATATTTTTACCAAACCAAATTAGTTTAAAACTTAATTACCAAAAGATCAACATCAACTAAAAGCTACTACTACTACTACTACAACTCATAACAACATTTCTAGCAAACATCTTGTAAATAGATACCAATTTCATAAAAAGATCAAACCAAGGTTTCTTTACTAAACATCAAAACCATAAAAAACAAGACTAACACATATACATGATTTACCAGTCTTTTATGCTAATAAAAAAAAACATGTGTCCCATGTCTTCGTACTCAATTGTCACGAATCAAATTTGTTGGCGCGCTAAAAACATACTTTGGTAACTCATATTTTGCACCTGCAATGTCCAAAATAATTTTACCATTAATCGAAACAACACGACCAGACAAAGTTTCTAGGGCTATTTTCGTCTTTTGTCCCATACTGACATCAGTCTCAGTCCCAGTCCCAATCAGAGTAGTACTGTCATTACACAATTAAGAAGTACCTCTCTCATCATAACAGACTGTCAAGTCAGCTTTTTGAACGATGACACCAGCACTATCTACTATGGCTTGCGCAAGGGTTAAGTCTGCCTCTGCAGCTGCTTGAAGGGCTTCCCAGATTTCTAATAATCACACAATTATATAAAAATAAATAAATAAATAAATAAAATGGAAATAAGATGATATAATAAATAAATTACCTTTTCGGCCACCATAATGTGGAGCAGTATCCCAAAATTCATCACGCATCTGCTTAAGCTGCTCTGTTGTAATTGGTTCAGTATGTTTCCATGGTTTTGGTTTTGTTATCTTTTTAATAGGTTCTGTTCAAAAATGATTATATGAATCCAGAAAACATCAGAATAAATTTATAATAAAGAAGTGTATAGTTCACATAAGAATCAGGAAATAAGCACAAATAGGTCTTAGGAATATAAAAGTAATGAATTATGTATAGTGGTCATAGATGACAACAATTTAAAATTACTTGTTTTCTAGATAATTTGATTGAATTCATTTGGATCCATAGGATCCATCTGTCTTGGATTATATATTAACACATTTGACAGAAAATTATCAACCAATTTTCAAGTAGGAAAAATAAAAATGAAATGATATGATACAGATAACTGATGCGATACAGACTACCAAACAGGAATTGGAGCTTCCATGTCAAAATCATTATTTGTTTAGGAATTTCAAAAACCCTCGGAAAGATTCACACTTTGAAAAGCCCCTAAATCAAGCAAGGATTATTCAATAATACTCAATACAAACAGCAAGTAGACTAAGATTTAAGAACCATCTTAATCAAAAATCCCCAAAGATCAATCAGAACAAGTTAAACCCTTTTCTCCTAGCACCTAAATTAATCAGTCAATTGAGTAAAATCCAATCAAGCTCATTAGATGCGAAATTTGTTTCTACAATCGATACATGCAACAACAACAACAAAAAAGTCTCCAAAAACACAAAAAAAAAAAAAAAAAATAATCGAAACCCCAATAGAAACTCGGAAATTGGAATGTTTACCGTCCCCTTTCGCATGCGATGATCCAGCACAACCCATACTGAAAACTCCGGTTATCCCCCTGTAAATATCTCCGGCGAGTAAAGTTATATCGAAATTGGTATAGTTTCCTAAGATAAGAATAAGAAGATCCCAGAAACGATTTTATTCAAAATCTCGAGAATAGTCTGGGTCTACGATAAAGAAGCTATACATTAAAAACTAATGAATGATTACTGGATAAAAGGAGACATATTAGGAGGAAGTTGGAGCCCTAATTTGATTATGGGCACCGAATTTGGAACTAGGTTTGTTGCTTTGTCAAAAACTGATAAAAGTTGGATGATAGAAAGAGGGGTAAAAGGGGCGGGATGATGACGTGGCTCATTTTTACCCAGCTCGGTACAACCTAGTTTTCTATATATACACACATGTGGCCTCCACATGGACCACATCTAGAATAATATACATATGTGATATGTCCTTTTGTCCTTTTAAACTATAGGTTTAAATGTTTGGGGTAATCACAAAAATAACCAAAACAAGATGGATATAATTGATGAATGGTTACATATTTATCTAAAATTAAAAAAAAAAAATTGTAAAAAAATCATTGTAATCTTCTTCTTTTTTTTAATTTTGAAGCAACAAGTTATTTGGGCTCGTATGAGACTAGCACGATTCATCCGTTTATGCATTAGGCTATCGTAATCAAAGCACATGCCCAAAGTATGTAGAAACACTAATAATTCTCTCATTATATATTGTAAGATGCTTATTTTCGAATAAACCAATATCTTTCATTAATTAGATATAAGTACAACATTACAAGGGACTTGATGGTCTATACAAAAATAGGGTAGCATGGTCTAACTATACATTGTTCATGCATAAACTAACATCACTGAAAGCTTTATTGGTAGGAACCGTTTGAATGTTTAAACCTAATCTAAACTCATTAAGTAGAGATGCTAGCACCCCTTTCGTGAAGATATTGGCATAATGAGAGCTATAAAGGACATGAAGAACTCGAGCATGTGCCAGGCAACCTAATCACGAACAAAATGAATGTCTATCTCTATGGTTTTGGTTTGTTGATGTTTTTTTGGTTCGTTGATGTTGAACGAGGATGGTAGACATGTTATAACATTATCACATTATATGATCATTGCTTTGTTATGTGACTCATGAAGTAAATTGCAAATACAACATGTTTGTACAACCATATTGGTCCTCCCTCGATACTCGGCATTTACACTGGAACAAAAGATAAATTGTTAGCATTTAGACAACCAAGATAGAAAATTATTGTAACGTCCTAATTTCTAGAATAATTTTTCATTTTTAAAATACATTTTCGTAAAAATACATTCAAGTCAAAAACCCTTTGTTCAAATACCATATTTCAAAATCAGAGTTATAAAGGAAAACAACGTGGAATCTCAAATTACAAAACTGCAATGTATGTGTGTACAGTCTCGCATTTGCATCCCCAAGAACCAATAAAGTACCGGAAACATTTAAATCCATAACTGTAAGCCAAAGCTTAGTGAGTTTCCCAAAATATCCACTTAACAATAAACATAAAATTCATGAACACATGAGCCTTCAGTCTGACTGGACCACCTCGCAAGGCTTATAATACACCTGGACCGCTCTCCCGATCCTACAACATATATATGCACCGCTCTCGTGAGCCTACAACACTAGGATGGACGCTCTCCTTGGACCGACAATATCTACTTGACCACACGGGCCTCTTGGCCTACAATACACAGCTGAACCGCCTCAACTGTAACATCCGGGATCTAGAAGGTCAATTATGGAAATAAACCTCATTTCTAAAGGCTAACTCTTCGAGTTTGGGGGAAGAAACTCGGCATGTTGGAAGTGTTGGTCGCACGTATTTTTGAAGACCAACTCGACGAGTTGGAGAGGACCAACTCGACGAGTTAGACGTGGTTTGGGAAACCCTAATTTCGGTGTTTTGCACCCTATTTAAACAACTTAAACCCCATATGTTGGCCTCATTTCCAGCCACCATTGTCCTAAACCCTAACCTTGAAACCCTAAGGCATTTTTTAGTGTTGTGAGCCATTTTGAGTGCTTTGGTGGTGTGCTTGAAGCCATTGGAAGGAAGGGAAGCTTGGTGAGAGTTGGTGATACAAGAAGGAGCTGCTAGATCTCGAATCTTTGCTTCATTTTCTTCACTTTTCTGGTAAAAAGTCTCAATCTTGCTTTGTGAATTCATAGATCTCCTTCTTAGGGTTCTTTTGCATGTTTTGGTCCAAATAGAGTGGTTATTGCGAGTTGGACGTCCCATTTGGACAAACCCTTTCAGATCTATGGTTCTATAGAGCTCTTGTGGCATAAAGGTGCCAACTTAATGGTCTTAAGGGCTCTATGCATCCATTAAGCCCTTATTGTGGTCTCTTTTAAGCTTTTAAGTTCCCTCTAGCCTTGCATGTGAGTAAATTTGAAGACTTTACGTGACCTTTTAGTCTTTAAGGTCCAAATCTGTGTTCATGGGTTCTATCTTGAAGATATGGTGGTTTTTGGGATTAAGATATAACGTCTGTGTTTCGAGGCTAAGCATTGATGTGATGATGTAATAATAGAGGACAACCGTTGTAACCTATTTTAAAGTAATAAAGATGAATTACTTGAATATTATGTGAATTATGTGCTTTTATGTGATTATATACTTGTTTGTAAAGATATAATAAAAATAAGCGTCAAAAATAAAATGTTAGATAAGCCCGATATCGATGAAGAAAGTGGTAGTGGTCGTGACAAGGATTCCGGAGATATAAAGAACACCGAAATCCGAGTTATAACGAAGAAGTTATGACTTGTCGAAGTTTCGCGACAGAACCGGCACGACACTGCGTGACGTAAATAGTGAATTTATGATAGAGGACGTTTTATCCTTAGCGATCAAAACGAAAGTCGTAGTGTTCGTTAAACCGAGAGCGTGCATAAAAAGAACACCCAAATCTGACTTCGTATGAGGAAGTTATTATTTTTCTAAGTTTCGGCTTAGCAGTATGCAGCCCGAAGTTCGAATATTAGACCGACTGATTTTTAGCTGACACAACCTAAATGAGAATCGACGGTCTCGTTAATAGTAGCTCAACGGTAAAAAGACAGACGAAAAACAGACGTCGGATGAGGAAGTTATGAATTTTTAATGGACTTTCCTGTCCCGGCCTGTTAAAAAATATAACTTTAAAAATAGAGTCAAAATTAGCCGACGGAGTCTAAACGAGAGTTGTATAGTACGGTCTCACCTACGCGTGGATATAAAGAACGTCCAAAACGGAGCTCGTATGCGAAAGTTATGAATTTTAGAAGTCGAGATGAGAAAATGTGAGCTGATGCGAGGGGTACGCCCCGCGTACGAAGATGGGTACGATGCACAGTCTTTTCTCTTCTGTGGTCCGAAATGAGTCACGATGAACCACCGAGACTCCGATACGTGTTGTACGACCCTCGCAGTACGCCCCGCGTAGAGTTGTTGTACCCCCAGCGTACCGAGGCCTCGCACCCTATAAAAGGGCTGCGAGGGCAGTCTTCTTTCTTCACCAATTCACTATCTCTTTCTCTCTCTAACATCTCTCTACCCCCCCCCCCCCCCCAAGCCTAGGGTACCCCCTAGCACTAGAAGAAAGCCTCAGAGAGCCCGAAGGCTCCAAGAAAAAGAGTTTTTCGGTTTGGAAACTCTGCCCCCGCAGAGCCCGGTTTTCAAGCAAACCTTCCGGCTTCATCAAAGAAGATTATTTTAAGAAGCGAAGTGTTGTCCGAATCACCACCTTATCAAAGTGAGTGTATAGTCACTTTCATCTTACACATAGATATAAAGTATTTTATATAAATTACGTGCTATATGTGTATATATATATATATATATTATTTGTTTACTTGAGATCTATGCTGGATGAAAGATTTGAACCTCTTTCTTTTCAGATCTGAACTTTTTCCTTCAGATCTAGACTTTTTCCTTCAGATCTAAACTTTTTTCTTCAGATCTAAACCTTTTCTTTTAGATCTAAACTTTTTCTTCCAGATCTGAACTTTTTCCTTCAGATCTAGACTTTCTCACTTCAGATCTAAACTTTTCAGATCTAACCCTTATATATGAATAATTTATACTTGAGATCTATGATGTATGAAAGATTTTAACTTCATTTTCATATCTAAACTGTATATGTATTTTATATCTACAAATATGTTGGGTAAAACATTGGTAGATGAAATAGTTGATGTGCGGTAGAATGATGAGAGGCATTGATGTTTACGATGATCTAGTCATCTAGGGGAGTATAAATGAAGACCACGGACTATTCTAGGCAGTCCAGTGGAACGATAGCAGGCTCGCAACCTGTAGGTGTTTTTGAAGATGTACTCCATCCCCCCATGGTTGCCTTATTTGACATGTATTGCTGAGGAATCCCCTAAGCAGTGCTGTCACCCCGAAGAAAAATCCTTAGGCTAGGTCCCTTAGAATAGATGCTTTAGGGACGTAATGTAACGCCTGCATTTCTGGGCTAGACATTAATATTGATGTAACAGTCTAGATTAACCTTTGTAACTCGTTTTGAAATAATAAGAATGTATTATTTGAGTATTATGTGTTTATTGCTTAACTGTGTGATTTAAATGAATTAAGGATAAAAATAAGCGATAAAATAAAATATTAGATAAGCCCGATATCTATGAAGGAAGTCGTAGTGGTCGTGGCAAGGTTTCCGAATATATAAGGAATGCCGAAATCCGAGTTATAACGAAGAAGTTATGACCTGTCGAAGTTTCGCGACAGATCCGGTACGACACTGTGTGACGAAAAATATGAATTTAAGATAGAGCGATATCTAGCCTTAGAAATCTAAACGAAAGTCGTAGAATACGTTAAACTGAGAGCTTGCATAAAAAGAACGTCTAAATCTGACTTCGTATGAGGAAGTTATGATTTTTTGAAGTTTCAACTTAGCAGTATGCAGCCCGAAGTTCGAATATGAGATCGAGTGATTTCTAGCCGAAATAATATAAACGACAATCGAAGATCTCGTCGATAGTAGCGCAACGGAAGAAAGACAGACAAAAAGGGACGTCAGATGAAGAAGTTATGAATTTATAACGGAGTTTTCCTGTCCCGGCCTACTAAAAATAATATAATAAAAATAAAGTCAAAATTAGCCGACGAAGTCTAAAGGAGAGTAGTAGATCATAATCTCACCTACGCGTGGATATAAAGAATGTCGAAAACGGAGCTCGTATGCGAAAGATATGAATTTCTGAAGTTTGGGACACAAATTTCGAGGCCGTGTCAGAGCTCACGACTTGAGCACAGTGGCTCACGACGTGAGCAGGTAGATTTCACCCTTAAGAGCCTGCACACGCAACTTGCGATGACGAACGCAGTGACATATTCGAGCTCACGACGTGAGCATTAGGG